ATTGATTTGTGGTGTTTAACGTCCCAAAACCACGCTATGAATATGAGAGACGCCGTAGTGAAGGGCTCCGGAAGTATCGACCACCTGGGGTTCTTTAACGTGCACCCTAATCTGAGCACACGGGACTACAACATTTCCACCTCCAGCGGAAATGCAGCCGCCACAGCCGGGATTCAATTCCGCGACCTGCGGATTTCAGTAGTAATGAGACCATTTCTCAGGTTTCTTCAAAGCTCAATTTTTTATTATGATTTTATTAACCTCTTGGTACGAAAGTCACATCGAGAATTGATAGTATGATACTTTATATTGATAATATTTTTAAGAAGAATAACAAGGCGTCCAAACAAAAGAGCATCTTTTGTGGAAGTACATTACGTCTCATTATTATTTGCGTCTTGACCTTTATCCCGTAGAGCAGCATGCTTGAGAGTGGTTACACAGGGCATTCACTCCCAATATTTTGCCCAGTTAAACGACACCCAATAAGAAAGAATACTGCAACAAAATAGCTTCTTTTTGTTGTAAGCTGTTTGTAATAACCCAAAGTGAAAAGCAGTTGAGGTTATTACAAGCCATTTACCTTTACTAAAATTACATTTAGGTGCCCTTCGCTTCTTTGTCAAATAGAATTATCATTATCCTATCAGTCTGACATCGAGACAAACAATGCAATCATTTTTTCTAGCATACTGTGCCACTGCTTCATTTTCTCAACAGGAAGGCCTCCAAGTGGCGAGTTTGCCGTTTTCGAGGCTTTCTCGGTTCTTGCATTCTTTTAAAGAAAGAGAAAAAACAGTGGCGAGTAAACTGAATGTCAGATATCGTAGCCACATGATGATTGTATATCCTTGCGCTCTTCGCGCATGTATGCGTAGTCTGTGTGATTAAGTTCAGATAAACCGCGTCGCTTGAATGCCTAGCGTCATGAGCACTGCTCCTTGAAAGTCAAGCTAAAACGTGGTTGGTGGACTAGACCTTCGCCGCGGGCGTCAGCCAATAAAACTGGTGAATGCGTGAACTCAGGTGCATGCTCGCTGATTCTTAGAAGGTTTAAGTTGCCGGCGTCACCATATTGCCGGCGTCACCATCATGCGTTCAGTGCGGTGGACGCTAAGCAGCAGCTTCCTTGAACATAAAATAATTTGGTTCGTTTGTCCTACTTGTGCAAGACTTGTGTCATCAGACAAGTCTGCTCGGTCTGCTTCGAAGTGAAGACCGCATCAGGTCACCCTCAAGTATCGTGGCAAAGTGGCCTAGGTCTTTATTAACCTGATATTGAATAGGTCTGCCTTAACTAGAAATCTTTTATTGAGCTCAGAACCTTGTTAATACAATTAAAAAGCTGATCATCCGTGTGTAGCTAGTTAGCGCAATATAAGTACCACGGTGTTAGTATGGTCGTGATTGGCTTGGTTTTAATTACTTTGCTCCTACATAGTCGCGTTAGTTACCATGGTCTTCATTAGCTCAATGTTAGCTTTACACAGCTTCATTTAGAAAAGCCTTAGTAAGCTGTCGCTTCATTACCTCAGTGTTAGTAAGACAAGGCTTAATTATCTTGGTCATGACATGTCGACTTATTTTGGTGAGAACCCCACTCAGCTATTTATTTAGCTACTCGGCCGGGCGCACGTGCTCGGGGAGCAATCACACAATGACGAAGGGCGTGCGTCGGTCTAGCAGCGCGCTAAAATGCACAGGTCGACCATGATGATGATACAGGTGGCCGCGGTGTTGTAAGGCGCTCGGTCGGAACAAATCTCGGAAGCCATGGCGGTGATCATTCTGAAACACACCTAGTGCAGACATTAAACGGCTCAACAGCGAACCTAAATGGCCGACACTTCTAAAATATGTTGTTAGTATAAATTTCTGACACTTTCCTTGCATTGATGCACTTCTTCTTTACTCAGTGGACCAACAATCGAATGAAGGATGATGTCTCCAGTTTGAAGTCAACGCCAAACTTTGTTGACCGCCATTGGCGTGACACCGCGTTCCATCGTAACCAGTGGCACGCAGAATGCGCTGAGGAGTCAATTTGGCTTTTTAGTAAACTCCATCAAAAGGGGGTGCCGCTAGAGCTGTGAAAGATCCCTAGTTTCGCAAAACTCGGGCCATCCTGCATAGTACCTCGGGAGTGTGGCTAGATGGCTTGAACGAGCGTCGAGAGGCAGTTGAAACGTTCAACAAAGACAAAAAAAAAATCAAGTGCTTTTTATCTCGTTTCTGAATAACGTCGTGGAGAGTTTCCTTTGAAAATACCCCCGAACTAAATATCCGTGAGGCCCGTCTTGCAAGCGTTGCTGCAACTTCGCCTTAAGCGAACACTTACGAACGGCCCAAAAATGACTTTTGCTGCGTTCTTGAAATTAGGTTTTAGTTTCTTGCTTTTATCTTGAAACCACCGACGCCAACTATGGACTTCGCTGTTCGCAAGCTAAGGCGTGCGCACGGGTGTATGTGTGCGTGTTTGTGTTTGTGTGTGCCTGGAGGAGGTTGTTTGGACGGTGTTTGATCGGCTGAGGGTGGTGGTCAGCCCTTCTAATAGACCACCTTCGCACTACACTTTGAGCGCATTACCCTCAATGCGAAGGGTTTGGGAAGAGCAGGGAAGAGGATGGGGGCAGCTCTGCGCTGTAATTTCAGCCACTTTTCCTCATACCTTCAATGGCGAACCCTGCTCGCACCCATGCTCAAAGCATACGCTGCAAAAAAGTTTCAAACATACCAAAGCAACGAGCTTGGGCGGTAATAACGCCAACGCCGCTGTGCAATGCGCATATTTCATATTAACGCTGTATAGTCTTCCATAAGACTGAAGCCCCGCACGGAGCTGTCACTAAGCGGGGAAACACAAAAAACACGACTTTTGTGGTCTCGTGTTTTTGTTCTGGGTCCTAAACCTGTGGTTTGCTTCTGGCATGCGTGGTGCTTCAAATTCCCCCTCCCCATTTATTTGGAATGAGAAGTTACCTTATCACCGCCTGCAGGATGCTCTCACTGTCCTGACGTGACGGTGTTGCCTAAGCGCTAAAATTCCAGTATCAGTCGCAAAAAGAAGTGATGTTGCAAACGAACGAAACGCATGATACATGGTAGAAACAGGGAACTTCGAATAACGTATCATGCAGCTCAAAAATGACGTTGCTAAGGGGTATGCCACCGCCAGCGCAGTGGCTAAACGTTATCTTAACACAAGTCATAACGTTAGTTGAAGCTCAGAGACTGTCATCGGCACGGACAAATCACTCTCATTTCGCCTTTTGTTTTTGGAATCGTCATTAATCCAGTTGACGCCCCATACTACTAATCAGACATGTGGAAATCTACCTGATATTTACACCAAATAATTGCGCCATCTAGTACGGATATAAGGGAACGCGCCAACTTTCTTCCCTTGTATGTGAACAAGAGATCTCAAAACGTCACGAATTTTTTTCTTTTCGTTGGAACATTGGTGAGTTTTCATTCATTCGTAATAAAAAGAGAAAGTGAGGTCACAACTGGCTGCACTGACATGCACTGGTTTGCTCAGTTGCTTACGCATGCTTTTGTAATGAAAACTTCTGCATTCCATGGCTTTTTTTTTATTTAAACGAATCAATTCAATATTGACGTTCCATCTAAGCCTGTAGAGGCACTATGCATTTCTGATAAACGTAAGTGCAAACTTCCTAGTAAGTGGTTTGTGTTCAGCGCAGAGAACTGCGAATGCACTGAAAATGGACGGCTCAATTGTCTGCTTCACGTCAGTGGTCGGCTGCGAAAGAATCAAATGTACGTTTGTCCTTCTCCGCGTAGCACAAGCCATACATATGATAGTAGGCTATAGCCACAACAGCAAACACTAAGAAAGCAATGTGGCGTTCAGGGGAATAAATATTCCCCAGACCGAACTCTGTCCGGCAAATGTTCGATGCTCTGCGAACGAGGTCCTTCGACACCGAAGGCGCAACCCAAAATAAAGCCAAACGCAAGGCTCGGTACCGTAGTGCATGGTCTAGCTGGGGCGATTTTGGTGCACTCGTGGAGCCTATCCTTCAGCTCAAAATAGACACGGGATGGGTTCGAGCCCACGGCCGCCTTTGCATGCACGTACGCACGCACTCTCGACACCGAGGCGGCGAGATGCTTGGCGCTTTTTATCCCCACACCCTCCCCCTCTCCACCTTCTTTCCAGCTCGGCCGAGGCTTCAGTTGTCATTTCAAAGCTCTTTTCTTCGCCTAACGCTTCCGGTCACCCGCCGTTCTTTCCTGGCCTCTCCTACACGAGTACGAGAGAGAGAGAGAAACAGCCGGTGTTTTTGTAGCGCAAGGTCCGAAAAAGTATTCCTGCGTTCCTGAAACCCGCCTGTGGACGAAATAGCAACAGACAGCTGCTGTCTTGCTATTGCTATGTTGCTAGAGGAAGAAGGAAAGAAAAAAAGAAAAAGAAAGAAAGCAAGAGATAAAAGAAAAGAAAGAAAGAAAGAAAGAAAGAAAGAAAGAGAGAAAGAAAGAAAGAAAGAAAGAGAGAAAGAAAGAAAGAAAGAAAGAAAGAAAGAAAGAAAGAAAGAAAGAAAGAAAGAAAAGAAAGAAGAAAGAAAGAAAGAAAGAATGCTTCCTCGCTGAGCAGGCCAAGAGCCGTTTGCCAGTTGGGCAGCTTGACTGCAGCTTGAACGCCGACCCCTGTCGCCTCCAGCAAACGGAAAAGATCAACGAAGAATCAACTCTCCGGTGGCCCATCAGTATAGGCGTAGCATATTTTCAGTGCCTCGTAATATGCTGATCTTCCGTGTCGAGGACGATCAAGTGCGGGTGTGAGAGTTTCGTCGTGAAAACGACACGAACATTCCACTTCGGCGAAGAGCCCGCAAGGACATCATAACTTGCGACGCATCTAGGAAAATACGGAAACACTGTGTGGTGACGCTTGTGGGAACGGAGGTATTCACACATTGTGTTTTACCATTCGTCTTTACCAAGAAGTCATGGTCCACTGATGAGCGTAAAATATGGCGTGCCTCCACGTGCATGGTGTTGTGCTAGGCCTTGCAGTGTTTACACTTTCTTGGGCAGCAGTTCCGGTTCATGGACTTCCGGACGTCGTACGAATAGGTAAGGAGTACGTTTTAGGCGATATGCCACACAATTTCATTATCGTAGTCCAACACTTAGTTCTTTTCTTCAGAAACGATTCATGTCAAATGCAGACTTGGGACACAATCACGAGTGGAAAGTAATTTTGCAAGAAATGACACGACTTGGAACTCCTTTATGAGAACGTTATGCTGACGCACTTGTTGCAATAACATAACTTCTTCTGTATGGAAATGCAGTTGAAGTAACTTCCTTGCTTTACAAACACACGCGTTCTCTATGCGTGCTTCACAATACAACACGAAATATCGCAGTACCACAGTCTCGTGGTTGAAAGGGACACTGAAGGCACATAACATTTTGCATCACAAAGAAAAAAATCAATGTTTGGAATGTTGAAAAGCTCAGTATTATCAACATCAATGCTCTACTAACCGAAAAATTGTGCTAAATATGCGAGACCACATGCGCCCCGAGTGAGACATTCCCAGTGATCACACGCGGGAGAAATTATCTCAATAACACGAAAGCGTCCGACTACAACTAATCACTGTGGTAATCAAACTGGCTACAGTAAAACAAAAACCTTCCCTACATTAAAACAAGTAATAAAATGCTGCTTCTCCTTTTCTGTCTAATTTATAGGAGGAAAAAAAAACGCCAGGCCTGCGCGGAAGGAGCAGCACAGTCACAGCGAGAGCTAGAAGAGCTGCCTTTCAGAGCCTTTTCAAAACACTCTTTGCGTAACTACTCCAAGCACACGCGCTTGATATCCACTTGGGCATTATTAATCAAATTTTTGGGTTGTAGGCCGGCATTCACTATGGTATTCTTCCTCATCCTTCTGAGAAGCGTGGTATTTTTTAAGCACTTGCAAGGAATTTCGTGCCAACTGTTCATGCAGTGGCTAACGATGATGAGGCATTATGCCTGAAATGGGTATGCGCCACAGTTAATACGTGAACAAGAACAAGCTTTTATAATGGGTTGGAGCATTGAACTCGTTGTTTAAAAGCGCTTTGTAAGCGCTTTTCCCGACATCAAGCCTGCCGAAGGCAAGTTTGTCCACAATATTCAAGCACCGGCGTGGCTCAGTGGTAGATTACTGGACTGGCACCCAGCGGGTCCGAGTTCGAGCCTCACTGTGTCATTAATACTAGCTTATTGTTTTCTAATTTTGTGCGATGTGGTTACGGACACCGGTGGCGGCGGCAGCGCGGACGACTACGGTGCCGCGCGTGACCTGCGTTTTGATCTCACAGCAGTTTTCGCAGTAAAAAAAAAGAGTAAAAAACGCCTGGCGTACTATGCGGAACGGCGCAATCAGGTCCAAAGTTCTGTTTTCATCGCGTTAGGCTGGATAGGTAATGCTATCTAGCGCGACCCAGTAGGACCAAGCAAGCAGAAAATCATTGAGTGGCCGTTGTTGCTCCTGTGTATGCACTTACACTCTGCTGCAGCTGTAGTGTCAACGGCCGCACTGTAAAGGAGCGCGTGTTGGATGGGGCAATTGAAGTGCGCTAACAAACTGCAGATTACTACAACATCATATTGTTTAAAAATAAGCACTTCCTAGGCACACAAATACCACTACTAAGTTTCTCGATTGCTTTGGACCTTTTCGAAAACGCCTTTCTGGGCGCCGCCATAGCCCCCTTTGGGCTGCGCAAATTAGCGTGACTCCTCAAAAATGTACTGACAGGGCTGCTCCTTTAGCCTTTGCACTCGCGCGCGCAGCCCATCATGACGGTGTTTTTTTCCCTCCTGTGAAAACGTGTGTAAGAGCAATCAATATCAACTTTATCTTTGACTTTCGTGTACTTTTATAGCTTGCTACTCCTTACACAAAACTCACCTCTGTGCGGAAGCTTCACTGACGCAAGCCACTTTTAACGTTACCCATTACATTGTACCTAATCCACAGTTTCATCTGCTCAAGTAACATCATGGAATAAAAAATATGCGATAAGTGGTTGAAGTACGCGCTAGAGACACGGTATCGCTATTTCACACACTCATACACTTCTTTAAAGGCGAAGCTTAAGGATCCGCCAGTTTTATTGTTTTCTTTAGAAAGGTTTTTATGGTATATAAGTTAGAACAACCTGTGATACCGATGTAGAAGAATGGCCGTTATTGATAACAAATATTTCAGAACTACTGCCACACAGAAAACTTAGTTAATTTGATACAAACATGGAACACTGACACTGTCATGCCGCACGACGTTGTCATGTGGCGCAGTGCCTCGGCAGCCCTCGGAGCATGAAATTCTTATGCAAACCTTCGAAACCTATCCAAGCGAAATTTGCTCATAACAAAAGCAGAATTAATCAGTATACCGGTGCGGCATGGGAGCTGAGAAATCCCAGCCGTGGCTGTCGGGGTTCGGTGGAGGCGAAATGCTAAAGGCCTGTGATCTTATATCTATGCACACGCTAAAGGCACTTGAGAAGTTTGAACAGTCTGATACCATTCACTATCATGCCCCTCGTAATCACATCGCGGCAAAGTTTACTGATGAATGGAATAGCCAGGAGGTGACCCACCCGGCCTCGTTCCCCCCCCCCCCTTTTTTTTTCGCCCTAGTATACAGAGCAAAAAAAAATTACCATTTCAAAGAGGTGCCCCCCCTCTACCCCCGATCTTCGAAAAAAACATTTGTGGCTAGGCATCTGGTTGAGCTCTTTCCAAGTTTGAAACGCTCAGTCAAGCCGCCTTCATGTTACTGTGTCACCTCGTCTTGTGAACGTCACCGAGAATATTTATTAAGGCAGCAGAGATGGCTTACTTTAAACACTTTCGTCGTTGCTATTATGATTCTATATCGCATTTGTTTTGTGTCTTTTTGCCCAATATTATTCACTTCCTCGACCATACGCAGGTGGCATATTCGAGAGCGACAACCACCTGGCACAGGTAAGCTTCCGCCATGCCCTGGACAAGATCAACAAGGACATCACCCTGTTGCCCAAGACCAAGCTCATGCCTGTCATACACGAGGTGAAGCCAAAGGACAGCTTCTCCGCATCCAAAGCTAGTAAGCATCGCCACCGCCACACGTTTGAGAATAGCTGGTGGTTTTCGCTTTCATCAGTGATATGTATGTGGCCCCGTCGCGGTGGTCTAGTGGCAAAGGTACTTGGCAACAGACCCACAGGTCGTAGAATCGAATTCCATCTCCGGCGGCTGCATATTCAATAGAAGCGAGAACACTGTAGGCCCGTGTTCTCAGATTTGGGTGCACGTTAAACAACACCAGGTGTTTCTAAATTGCCGGAGCTCACTATTACGGCGTCTCTCATAATTATATGGAGATTTCAAGACGTTAAACCACGCATATCAATTATTGGCGATGTATATGCAAAGAGTGCCTGTCCCAAAGCCGCAATATCACCACGAAATATGACGTAGTGGAGGTCTCCAGAAATTTCTACCAACTGGGGTTCTTTAACGTGCACACACATCTGAGCACGCAGACCTGCAGCACTTTCGCCTTCATCGAAAATGCAGCCGCCGCCGCCACCGGGATTCGGTTTCACGACCTGCGGGTTGAGAGCCCAATGTCTTAGCCATTATATCACCACGGCGGTGTAAGAAATGGCGTAATGCTCGGTCCCGTACAATCCTGTTGCCTTAAACATTGCTTAAATCCACGTTGTAGCAATCCGCCAGCCTTTCCAAGGCTCGAAATGAATTACTGCATTGACTACGGCTTATTTTTTCTGGCTTTGACAGCAATAATAAACTACTTTTGTCAACCCCATGAATTTCTAAGTTTTGAGAGATACCGCGTTTATGGAAGGACGCATCTCAACATGAAACATAACTTCACTTCATTTTCTGCACTTCGCACGCCGGCGCAGAACTCTCTTCATCTCCTCATCACCACCATCCGCTGCTAGCTTATCTATGTGTTCACCCTAGATACTAGACCATTCTAGTCGTTTCTTCTGCGCGCCGCACCGTCGATGTGACGAGGTTGGTCGGCCTATCGTATCGCCTTCGAGGGGAGAGACGGTGCATCACACGCTGGCACAGAATTCTCTTCATCTAGGGCGAAACCTGTCTCGTATCGGGGCGCGTTCGAGGGGGACAGTCAGCGCGCCCGAGGGCTCGTTTGATGCTTGTTTTCTTCTTTTCGTGGTAGCAGCAGCGCAACAATCATGCCGACGCTGCACTCGTACGGTTAGAAAAAGAATAATTATCAGCAGAGCTTGGCATATTGGGTTTATAGCCACCGGTGATGACATAAGACTTCAGTGGCGCTGTGGTGGCGCTGTCCTTTATAGGACGCGTGTTGCCGCATGCAGCCAAACCCCACTAGCTGCACCACAGTTTCATTTCCGGTTCTGGCGAACGGAGGCCAGTGGCAGCGTTCACATAGGGGTAATTACCTACGTGACCGGTTTCGATTATAATCAACGTTTAAGAAAGAGGCCGTAAGGGATCCCAACAAGATGTAATGGAAGTTCATAGCAGCCAATGCAAAGAACAGACGCAAGATTAACAGTGCCGCAAGTGATCATTTCTTTTCCATACACGCTCACTTCAAAATTTTTGCAAACTCTACAACATCAAAGCACCGCCTTCGCTTACACTGTGTATTCTTGCTTTTATGTTCTTGTTTAGCACGCCAGATACGCCGCATACATCGGTTTGCTCCCGATATATGGGAAACTTTAAAATATTGACGAAACATTACTGACCCGAATATTATTACTCTAATTGTTTGATTTTCTGCGTGTTCAATTGAAGGTAAGTGAGTTAGGCTGTCGCAAACAAGCGCTCAAGATAGCGTGCGCCGCCGAACTCTGCTGACAGCGTTAAAATCTGGCGCCAAACTGTCGCGCCAGATAACAGTAAAAGAAGAAAACAACCATCAAAGGACTCTTCTGGCACGCCGTCTCTCCCCCTCGTAGGTGCCTCAATATGGCGACCAATCTCGTCGCATCTGTCGCCAAGCAATCACTGAAAAAATCTCGAGCGAAAGGGGCGTGGTGATGCAGAGTTGCGTTACCTTACGAGACAGTTCTCGCCCTTTCCGCAGCTCTGAAGGTGCGGCGCGCTGAGAAAACGACTAGAACGTCTAGAACTTAGGACGAACATATATAAGCCAGTATCGGATGGTGGTGATGAGGTGATGAAGAGAGTTCTGTTTTAGCGTGCGAAGGGCAGAAGATGAAGCGATTTTCCAGCTGCGGGTGAAAGCTTGTATTACAAGCAGAAAAGAAGCGTATGTTTACCGCCAGTGGGTGAAGACACGTCCTGCAGTCGCAGACCATGAGCGGCCGACGTGTCACCGACAAATAATTTTTTTATCAAAGTGCGGGCATTTGACGAGGCGAGGTTTCCGGGAAGAGAAACTTTGGGTGCAGGAAACGACAACGGCGCTGCACTTCCAGTGAGTGGTTCCTTGAAGAGAATCATGCAAGCTTTATTTCAAGAACTTTAGAAGAGTCAAGTTTGAAGAACTTTTCAGTCTTTAAGTGTCTTAGTTTTGTGAATGCATGAGATCACAGTGTAGCGTGTATCCTCGTTTATGTTTGGTGTTTCGATAGTGTCTAGTTTTATTGAGTAGCCAGTTTGATTTGTGACATACTGTATTGAATTATGGCCAAGTGTGCATATTTGTGTGTTGTTTAATCTGCTGTATTTGAGACTATATTTTTCTTTTGTTACTCTCAGCGCTGTCTTCTTCTTTGGACCACAGCTGGCGTTCGCTGGCACGCCAATTCGGACCGCATATATATTGTCCATGCTTTCTTGGTGCAGTTCAGGGGGCCAATACTTCAGCCCTTGGGATCAGCCCGGCGATTTCTTCCCTAAATACAGGACTAGTGACTTAGACACGCATTCGCCATCAATTTGTGGCCAGATGAGGCTGTTTGGCCGTGTGGGTAGTCCTTCATCAAGAAAGCTGAAAGCTCATGAAAAAACGCGGACGAAAAGGTTATCATTTCTTTCCTTCTAAGAACATTAATGCCGAAGCTCTTAAGCGAAAAACATAGACGTATCAACAATTTTTGAGCCATAAGCCATCAAAACCATGCTATTGAATCCGAAATGATTGTCTAAAAAGTTATCTTTACATTTAGCGTGTGTAACCTGAATGTTCCCTAGTGAAGTAGCCCCCCGCAGGGGCGTGTGCGCAAGCGAGCATTTTGTGTGTAACGACACCATGGACCCAAGCTAACGACGGGTGCGGGGGGGGGGGGGTTCGACTCCTTTCCACACCCAGCCGTGCGTGGCTTTGCCGTGTCCGAGGAAATGGGGATCCTTTGGGTGGAGCTGACGCTGGGTGCACGCTTGAAGCTTCAAGGCCCCCAGGCAGAGGCAACACACCTCTTTGGCCCCGGCTTCACGCAGACGGCACCCCTGGGCTGACCCACCAAGAAAAATTGGCAGTTGCCTTTTTCTATATCTCTCCCCCTAATCGTCTTTATCTGTCACTTTTTACCTGTCCAGTCATCTTCTCTCTTCCGTTTACTTCCAAATTTTCTGGCGGCGAGGGTAAACCTGGTGTAGCTATTCAACCTAGAATAATTATAACAGGTTATAGCGGCGATGTATGGCTGGCATCTCCAAGTGTTTACTTTCAACCTTGTGGCGTCCCCATGTTGGGCTCGGTGGTGGGTGGCCACCATCAGCGCCAAACTTTGTAGTATTTTTATGGCAAAAGCTTTCCCCCCATACTTGATCGCTCCCTGAATTGGTGGCGCACCGAAGACACTTTCCCGCTTAACTCACCAAAGCCGACAATCCCAAAGTACCATGTTATCCACAGCCATAACGAAAAGAAGACTGTCCGAGAGTTTCCCCCTTTCCTCGTGTCGAAAACTCTGTTTCGATGGGCCCACACAGGTCTATGAACACTGTCCGTGGCGTAATTTCCGATGCTGATTTTACTGGGCTTACTGAAAGTGAGGTGCTCGAAAGTTGGCTGGACCAGAACGTGGTCAAAGTCAAACGAATAACAATACGGCACAACAACAAACTGACCTCCACAAAACACGTAATAATTACCTTCCGAACAATTCAGCTACCAGAATCCATCGACACCGGCTATTGTAAGTTCCGTATAAGATCCTTCATTCCCAACTCTCGTCGATGTTTCAAGTGTCAACGTTTCGGTCATGGATCGCCAAGTGGCAGATGGCGTGCCACTTGCGCAAAGTGTGCATTCATTCAACACATATTAGACGACTGCACCTCAGAAACAGTTAACTCATTGTTCGAACTGTGAAGCAGATCACGCTGCCTACTCACGATCATGCCCCACATGAAAAAAGAGAAACAAATAGTAGAACTTGGGGTGAAATCGAATCTGTCATTCTAAGAAGCACGTCAACGTTTCGCACTACAAAACCCATCTTATCCCTCTTTCACAGATGTGACGTGCAGGGGCGCTGCGTCACACGTTTCTGCACCCGCGAATGCCATCGCGAATGTGTGGTCGCGGCCGTGCCAGCAGCGCTCTCAGCTGGAGCAGCCTGTACTGCTCCGCCACCTGACAAACAGGGCCGGCAGACCCCGTGTCTGCTGAACCTTGGACCAATGCAAGCGCAGTTAGGTCCGAAACTTCTGTGACTATGCCTGCCGAGCAGGCACCATCCACCACCTCATGAGAAGTGATGGATACAAGTACGACTCCTCCGGCGCCTCAGACGCCGAAGGATAAGCGCAACTCTTTGGGGCGCGCCAAGAAAGAAAAAAAACCCGAATTACAGGGCCTCCAAAAGGCCCTGTAACAAAGCGCAGCACATTCGTACACACAGCATCACACAACATTAAAATGATACAAATACTACAATGGAATGTCAGACCACTGCTGAGAAACTTCGACGATATCCAGGAGCTCTTACACGAACATACACCAAAAGTGTTGTGTGTGCAAGAAACACACTTGAAACCAAAACACACTTACGTTCTACGCAATTAGGTTATATATCGAAAGGACCGGATTGATGTCATTGTGCCATTCGGTGGTGTTGCCATTATAGTCAATCAACGGATTGCATGCACACCTACCACTACAAACATCCCTTGAGGTTATGGCTGTTCGAGCAGTTCTTTTAAATAAGCTCGTCACCATCTGTTCTCTCTACATACCTCCACAACACCATCTTGAAAAGCATGAATTACAGTCCCTCATAGACGAACTTCCAGAAGCCTACCTTGTCCTATGGAGAATATAATGCACATGGTAGCCTCTGGGGTGGCTCTTGCTGCGATGCGCGAGGTCACCTAAATGAGCAGTTTTTTTTTCTTCCGGTGCGTGCCGTCTGAATCGAAAGGAGCCAACATATTACAGCATTGCTAACAATACGTACTCAACAATAGAGCTCATCATAACGTCCCCATCACTCCTGCCTCTAGTTAAATGGGAAGCCAATAATAATCTATACGGTAGTGACTATTTTCCTACCGTTATCAGCACATCAATAACACATACATGTCCTGCACAGGTTCCCAAATGGCTCACCGACAAAGCCGATTGGGAAAAGTTTCAAAAAAATGACTGTATTAACTTAGACTGACATGGTGGCATTAGCATAGAGGATGCTGTGTGCTGCTTTACATCTTTCTTGGTGGATGCAGCAATGAAATGTATTGCCCAAACATGTGGACCGTCAGGCCAACGACGAGTCTCAAGGGGGAATAATGAGTGCAGTGATGCGCGAAAAAAAAATAAGGCATCAAAGTTGCTTTCTAAAACGAAAGTCAAGGGGGTACTGGCTCAGCACGCGGAATAGACACACGGACAATAAACTGCATGCTATTGAGCCGCAACTAGTTAAGTGGTCACTACTATCAAAATCACGACACTCAGAAGTAACACTCGCAAGGCTAAGAACAGGCCATACACACTCTACCAATTCATGTCTTCTGCCACTGACAATCCACCATTGTGTGAGAGATGTGGAGAACCACTTACAGTTCATGACATTTTGCCATCCACTTTCACTGCACATAACTCAAGCCACTGTCATGATTTTTTTATTTCTATTTTGTACCCACGTTAGCGCGAAGAAATTTAAGGCCCCTTTACAGCCACGCATCATATCATTGTTCATATCCTAGTCTATTGAAATTGCGCTATTTGGGCATCGATTGGCCTTAACGCCATCAAATACCACTCATCATCATCATCATCATCATCATCATCATCATCATCATCATCACTGAAGTAGCCTATAACTGCGTCGTTTTGCTGCACTTTATGAGTCGCCTTGCCTGGATTAGTGCTCTGTGTATCACCCATTGATTGATTTGTGGGGTTTAACGTCCCAGCTCTGTGTATCACCCAAGGAGGATTTAAGAAAAATTGCATCCTCCTTGGTGTCACCTTAGTTGGTTCATGCCATCCATGTGTATTTCTCTTCTATTTTGTAAGACCTGTGATAAGCGGTGAGCTTCAGCAGCTAGTGTGGCACATAGTCTTTTGTTGGCGCTCAACGAAAATTCACGGTACCTTATCCATCCACAGCCCTGCTGTAAGGATGCACGCACAAACATTTATGCATGCACGTGTGCGGTGTTTTTAAATGCGAAGCATTCCTTAGCGAACCTCGGTGACTTTTGGCGTTATCTATCTATCTATCTATCTATCTATCTATCTATCTATCTATCTATCTATTAGTCTGTCTGTCTGTCTGGCTATCTAATAGTCTGTCTGTCTGTCTGTCTGTCCGGCTGCCACGACTTTTAGCTTTCCTGGCCGTCTCGATAATGGTATTATTACCAAAATTGGTAAGGCATAACATGGCTGTATTACTAGCATAACTGACTAGTCATAACATTAAAATCATGATATTTATGTCATGAATGTCATGATTTAGATTTCATGGTCTTGCTGCTCCAGTGGTGGTTTCGTTCACATGACACTTTAGAAAACTGCTATTGAATGACACTACTGCATGGCGAACATAGGTGACAGACCCTTACGTGGAAACCATGACATGCATGTCATGAATTTTATGTTATGACTAATCATGACTATTCGCCACGCCCATGGTTCGCTTGCGATGGCTTCGCTAGCTTCACTTATTCCAAATTTGGTGAGACGTGACGTCAATGACTGACGAAAGCATATGACTGGTGCAAACATAATAATCATGAGATGCGTGTCATGTAAAAACATGACTGCATGCTACGCTCATGATGCGCTCGTGGCCATTTCGTTAGGTTGACATATACCAAACTTGGTGTCACGTGACGTCAATGAATGATGAAGGTATATGACTGGTGCAGACATGTCATACATGACATCGGTGTCATGTGCGAACATGACAATATACCACGCTCAAGCTGCTCTCGCAGCCCTTTACCTAGCTTCAGATAAACTAAATTTTGTATACGTTACGTGAATCAATGACGGAGGTAAATGCCGCGTGTAAACATGATAATTATGGTATGCGTGCCATGTAAAACATGATGGCAAGCTACGCTCATAGCGCACTCGGAGCCGTTTCGCTAGCTCCACATATACCAAATTTGGTACCACGTGACATGAACAGACGACGATGGAAATGACACATTCAAACATGATAATAATGATATGCGTGTGATGTAAAACATGACTACATGCTACACTCATAGCATGCTCGCGGCCATATTGATAGCTCCACAAATAATGTCACATGATACTAAATTGAGTATCACATTACGCGACTTCACGACGAAAGTGAATGACACATCCAAACATGATATTCATGGCATGGAAGTCATGTATGGCATAAGTTACGTCCGCCTAGTAACGTGGAGTGATTCTAAAGTGACATGTCAACCTTCCTCATTCGTGATTCGGAATCATCGATTCCCACAATACGTGAGATCTGCAAATTTTTTTCGCCCACATTTGACATGCGCTTTTGCGTTTCTGAAAGAATATGACCAGGCATTTCATTTCAAGGTTTCTACAATATTTGCTTTCAGTTTGCACGTCGTTCAAGCAAAGGGTGTCTTCAATTATTGGCCCCACTTCGCCGGCCGTGACGTCACTCGCCATGTCTGCTTGCACAAACCTGAACGTACCGCACCTGCAGACCACGTGGCACCCGACGTCCAACCGCAACCCGTACACCTTGAACTTGTTCCCAGATCCAGACCTTTTCGGAAGGGCCTTCTTGGATCTTATACTCAACAAGAAGTGGAAAACTTTCACAATACTGTACGAGGACCAGCAGAGTGAGTTTCTCTTCGAAAGCTTACAAAATGATTCTTGGGCATAAGCGCACCAGCACAGCATTGTAGCTGTGAGACACTGTGCAATGGAGAAGTACAGATTGCCTGCGGGGGAAGCAGTTCTAAATTTCACACCTTTGCCTCAGTAAATGTGTATTTCATTGATTTCACGGCTATCAAATTGGTCTTTGAGCCCGGAAATTCCACGCTGGACCTCTTTTACAATCATCAGTTGTAATCACCGCAAAATAATGGATTTCGAATACTGTGTTACGTGGAACGCCAGGCAGTTCAAGCTTTTATGGTAAAAAATAAGTCATCTATTCGTCAGTGCCGGCATTGTTGAAATTTATACGAGAAGCAACAGTCTTTTATGGAACAAATGCGCCGATTTTATTGTAATGTATTTTTAATACGTATTTTATTCGTAAGCATTATATGAACATGCAAATAGAGCATTATTTCTTTCATGCACACAATCAGAAGCGTTCATATGCGCAAGAGTCAACATTAGATAACCTGTACTTTTGCTTCCTACTCTAAAAATACTGTAGTTTCAATCATAGATTGTCTATGTCGACCAACGTTGATACATTATAGGTGTCTTAGACTCGTAGTTCTGCACATAAGAATTGTTTCGATTAACCGAGTGTTATTCAGCGCACTCATAAATAATTGCAGGCATTGGTTCATTTCAAAATTTTCTTATTGATGAAGGCTGTGCCATAAAAACCAGAACTTCAAAGTCACCATTGGTACACCCCGACCACTTAGGTCATCGTAACAGAAAGTTCATTTTAAACCTCAAATCAGCCTTGGTGCCAAAGTTTGATCAAAATCAGTCTTACGCTGGGTATTTGTTGGGAAATCATGAATACGGTGGTGAAATTTCAGCCCATTTGGTCATCTACTTAACTTATAATTGAAAGATTTGTACAAACTCCGAGTGGCCTAAGAGTTGGCCAACAATGGCGCACCCGCGAGCCGCTGATGTAACAGGCAGCTAGACGTACTAGCATCTGCGTTCCGGCGTGCAATGTTGTTCCATGGTGAGCTGCGTGCGGAAATGAGATAGTTTAGCTTTCTTCAGCTAGGCACTGGAATTAACAATTAACAGTGGTTGAACATTGGTGGAAGCGGACGGCTCTGCACCTTTTAGCACATGACGTCACAAGTGCCATGGCAAGATGGCGGTCACCGATGCTGGACGGAGTTTACAGCCGGCAACTTACAGGGCTTGTTCTGTACTGGAATATTTTTTGACGGCCCAGTCTACGTATCTGTACAGCCATGATAGACTGTATACTTTTAGTTTGCGCTGAAAACCGCAAATTGTTGGATGAGGATGTAATGGCCTCTTTGAAATTTGTTCCAAAATTAACGCTTAAACGTTCGTGTTTGCCTCGCGCTTTCCCATTTGTCGTACCCTTCAATTCATTTGCGAGGTCGTTTTGCCACAACCTAAAGATTCCAAACCAAAACGATTTATTGTGCAGCTTGCGTGTAGCGAAAAGAAGAACGAGGCTACTAGGCTACTTCGCGCTAGTTCTTTGTTTGCTTTTACTGCAGGCTTGATATTGCTCAAGGACGTTTTGAATAATTCCTTCGCTCAAAAGCACGTCGTTTCACTGGTCCAAGTGAACCCAAGGCTGTCCTTCAAAAAGATCATGAAAGACATCGGCGTCACCAAGCAGTACAACATCATCGTAGACATCAAGACGTCGTCCCTACCGGCACTTTTGCGAGAGGTAAGACGTCTTTTTATTGCTACTAGCTAATAACTGCAATTAGTCTGGGTTTAATGAAGACGTCAATGCATTTCGACGTGACTTGGTGTGCCTGCTCGCCGGCGTTCATTTCGTCGCGTCACGCGTGCGTTGCCACGCCAGGCGCCGGTCCTGCCTTAACCTCTTCACTACCGGCCTAAGAAGGAATGAAGAAAACCTTATTTTTTTACAAAGCTTTATTGAACACTTGAGTCTTAGTCTATAACAAAAAAAACAATGAAAAAATTCCCTCGGCGTGCACTCGCAGGTGCACGCCGCGCTGCGTTGCTTTGACGCATGCGCATTTCAGCGCGTCCTGCGTCCCTCCGTCACAAAAAGAGGGAGACACAGTGTTGTCTAAGTATCGAATTGGCGCGAAATGCAGCATTGCATTTCAGGGCCACCACGTCAGGGCCACCCTGACGGACGCAGGTCGCGCGTGGCGTCAGACTATAATGGCGCATTCATACTTGAGAAGTGAAGAGAAACGAAAATGCCCGAGCGGCTGCAAAACCACGCCACGCGCGTCGGAAATGTCCACATTCGTTCTGCCCCATCCCGCTGCCGCTGCCGTCGATACCTCGACAATTAATTAGATTTTGCCTGCTTTCTGAGAACTAAAGTTCGTAACGAATTTCAGTTATACACGCAAAGCAGTGAAAAGAAACATCTCGCCCATTCTCAAACGTTGTCCGGGAGATAAGCCCGCAGAAATGAAACGAGCGAACGCACCCGCAATGGCAGCTCATTAAGCTGCCTGTACACAAACGCGAGACACATTGGGGCATGCTGACACGCTGCCGCTCGTCCGTCTACTTCCAGAGCTCTCGGCGATCGTAATCCAAGTCAGGCTCTCGATGAGCGCGTCCACGTTGTGGCCATCAAGCTTCATCGTGCTGCACAGGTAGTTTGCAATTTGAGCCGATGCGAGCCATCGCACACGCCTTTGCCGCCATGTTGAATCTGCGGCCAAGTGGTTAGGTCGCGTGGTCTAATCTAGCGCATCCAAGGCTGTGAAGCGGAATCTGGATCCGGTTTCGCGTTGTAGGAAAATCGGTCTGGGAGCGATTTTCGCACGCTGGCCGCGTGGCGTGGTTTTTCGGCCGCTTCGGTGGCGAAACGAGCGAGTTTCCGGAGAGTTTCACTGATTTCGCTCTCACCGAGGTCAAGTGTGAACGCGCCATAAGTGCTCGCGTTTTGCTAACGTAGCATCGCTCTGACCAGGGTGCGCGCGCATCAACGCTACATTGGAGTATATTGGGCCCTTCTTGATGCGCTCGAGGCTGTTTGGCTAGCTCCACATATACCAAATTTGGTGTTACGTCACGTCAATAGATGACAAAATATATGGCTGGTGCAAGCATGATAAACCTCACACGCGTATCATGTAGGAACATGACAACATGCCACGCTCATTGCGTGCTCGCGGCCGTTTCGCTAGCTCCACATATAATAAATTTAGTATCACGGGACGTGATCAGACGGCGAAGGTAAACGACGCATCCAAAGATGATAGTAATGACACGCAAGTCATGTACGGCATCATTTACCTCCACCTCGTAACGTTGTGCTGATTTTAAAGTGATATGTAAACATTTATCCTTCATGCTTCGCATATCATCAATTCCCATTGTACGTGGGATCTGCCATTTTTTTTTGTCGTTGTCTTCTTTGGAACTATGCGAAGTAGAAAATAAAATGGTGAATTAGAATAACGATGATACTCGCCGCAACCAAATAATTAATGATACCTTACTGGTTAAATATTAGATCAGTAGTTATCGTATTTTTTTCTTGTTTCTAAGATGTACGACTTTCTATTTACAAAGTGGGTCGTCCCTCACACTAACTTATCCCCCGCAGCAGTAGACAGTCCTCATGTAGTAAGGCTGTGTTCCAATTCTTAGACAGCACGTAGATAGTCTACACAGACTGCTTGGAAGACAGCGCCGAGCCCATGCTGCCCGAGAATCGGAACACTTCTGGAGCACTTTTACGCGACGATGCGCCACCTCGCGTCGAGAAGAAAAAGATAAAATAAACAAACGTAACAGTTGTATTTTCTGGCTTAATTCTTGTTGAAATCAAAAACAAATAAGCGTTACTCACATTGAGCATCTGGGAAAGCGTCTGCTTGTGTGCAGACGATCATTCTGGCGAGATTTGATCTATCTGAGCGATTCGCTGAGCCACCATCACTTTTAGACAGCAAAGTAGCCTGCATCGTATTTGTCTATGATGCGCTCTTTCGGAGCTGTCTATTTTTCCAGCTACGTGAAAATTAGAATGGTATTTAAGATGGCCGCCGTCCATTTGGCTGTCTATTTAGCCGTCTACGGTGAGTATTGGAAGGCACACTAAATGTAGAACACCAGAGCTCAGTAGTTGTCTGACCCCCGAATGCATTGAGGCTAATTCAGATGTGTAGCTCTTGTAAAAACTCCTGATTTCTTGTTATTCTAGTCGAGAAACCTGCCGACATCACTTAGATAATATGTAAGGGGTGTCTTAATGCGAAATAATACATAACAAATTTTCATTCATAATATTATATAATAATGATGCGTGATGAAGCTAGAATAAGACGACGATGAAGTGTAGTTCAATCAGCTTGCCCTTGCAAACATAGGCAGAATTTGTTCCGGCACGCTAACGCAGTATTCAGCAATTCTTTATAATGTTGTATCTTTGAGAGTGTTCAATAAGTAGACGATGGAGATTTAAGCTCAATGAGTAGCTGTGTATCACGAGCGCCAAGACTTGCTTTTGCACACTTTAGGTGCTGTAACTAGTGCGTATTTGCTGTATGCTAATTTCACAACGATAACTTGCACTAACAGGGCTAAATAAAAAGATGTTTTTATAATCACCATGATCCCCTTTACAACCACTAAGCCATGGTGTCCTAAATCTAAGACAAGGAGCCACTTTTTTGTACACTGATGGGATGCTCTGAAAAAAAAATATCTTCATGTTCTTCAGGTTGTAGTAACTTGAACTAAAAAAGAAACAAAAATATATGCCGGTTAAAAAAATTCAAGACTGTAAGGGTTAAAGTGCACATTACTGGCTCAACTAAAGCTTATACATAGTTTACCAATTACAACTACATACATGAAATGCATACTTTAACAAATGGCTACGATACGCATTTTTACGATTTATGAATTTCGTAAGTAAAGCAGCGTTACATCGTCTTTATCAGCAGACTGAGCCGTGCGTGGACGGTTGGTAAAAATAGTGTCGTAGAGTTAGGGGAAATGACACGCTACTACACCGTGGATTACAGCTGTCTTGTTTATTATGTGGTGCCACATGCGAGTCCGATCCCTACTACTTTTACAGTCAAGCTGGTGGCGCTCGCGCGTTTCTCTCGCGATAACAGCGAAAGAAAAACAGAAAACAAGCTCCAATGCGATATTATACACTCAGTGCGCCATAGTAAAACAAGTAGTTTTATAAGGCCTAGGGATCAGAGACGTTGGCATAAATTTTTTTGCGGGGTGTCCAGGAGGGGGCGCTACTTGAGATCTGAAGTGGGGACCGGGCAGGCGAATGGTCCTTTCGCGCTATACATCCAAGGCGAAAAACAATTTTCGGGTGCTTGGGAGTGAGGGCGACATAGGCCCAGCGTTCAGGCTACGCCACTGCTAAGGATGCCTACTCAGTGGTTCTGTCATCTTAAAGGAATTCTCACCAACGTGCCTTCAAAGACGAGAGAGGGTTTTCTTCTCGCATCCGCTGCCCTCCCTGTACACAATATATCCTCCTGGCCTCTTATTCATTACAGTGTCTTAGTTTGACGTTTTTACGGCCCCATTCGCTCTGAGTTCAGCCACTAAGATGCAGCGCAGCTGCATACGATTTTCTTGTTTTGGTTATGCTTTTTCCGTTCCGGAGTGGACCTTTCACAGTTACAGTGCTCTCTGGCAATGTTAAACCTCGAGGGTAAAACTACAGGCCAATTTCACAAAGTAAAGCAAATATAGATAACTTTCGCAAATTACTCACACTTGCTCTTACAATGCGTTACCATTTCATTTCATCGAAGAAAAATGAAGCATCAACTTGAAGATAGCCACGCGATAATTTGCATTCCAGAGCACAAGAGAGAACGCATCTATCTCCCTTACGCTTGCGAAAAATTGGAAGACCTTTATGCTTCGCCTTCAAGAGTTGAACGCGATAGCGAAATCCGGCCCCATTGTGCACCCCTCAACCGCTAAGTGCATACTTACTCATATGTTTCGTTACACACACATGCACGCATACAAACACGCACACAGTAGATTAGACCAGCGTGCGCTATTTATCGCCGAATGGGCTATAGTTTTCTTCGTGACACCTGTCAAACCAAATGCGTTAAAGGGGCCCTGAAACACTTTTTCAAGTAACCATGGAATGAATTCCCTAAAAGAGCTTATTGCCTCGCGGATTCAACGCCACAAAATTTTTAAGAATTTGTTCAGTGCGAGTGGAGTTACAAAGGTTTGTCGCATGCTGTGATTGCATTATATTTTCTCTCGTCCCGTTGAAAGCGCTGGAAGCTGTGTAGAGAGGGGTGGCAGGGCAAAAAAACTGCCGCGCCTTGTGACCTTGAGCACTTTTTTTTTCTTCGAATGGGCGGCTTTTTCAGTGGGATCGCGTACGCACGCGTGGAAAAGTAGCGGCATCCCGCGGCTATCTCGGTAACTTCATTTTGTGGTGACAGGCGCACAGATGATTTTTCGCTCACAACTGATGGGGCCGACGCTGACGACATGTTTTCTGCGACACGAGCTATTTAACGCTATCACTATAAAAAAATTGGCAGCATATCCACAAAGTGAATGATGGAGAGTGCGGCGAAGCATTCGTCCGTCCATTCGTTCTTGCTTCCGTCCGTCCATGCGTCCATCTGTGCGACCGTCCATGCCTCCATCCACCCGTCCGTGCATACGTCTGTTCGTGCGTCCGTCCCTGCGTTCATTCAAGCATCCGCC